GAACTAGCTGGGGACAGCTTGACACAAAATGTTCAAAACAACAAATGAAAGATTCACTCACGTTTAAGAGAATAAAAGACAGAATCACATAATGAAATGTATTTTGGGAATTTATGAAAAAGGAGCAGGGAGTCTGCGGAGGTGGAGTAAAAGGTAAAAAAATGCTCTGACACTCTGATCTGGCAGAAATATGATCTGACAATTTAGAAGCACTTAAGCACAATCAATAGCAGCTACGATGCTACAGACGCCTCTCCGATGAAATATTTGATCAAGAAAAGTCCCACATGAACTGAACAATATTTTGGCTTGATAGGAACTACCTAATTTTAATTACTAACTACTAATTAATATATCTGCATTTTCTTAACAATAAATTTGTTGATTATTCCACAAAACATAAAACTTTTTGAAAAAATTGCATCTTCAAGCAGCTTTTTTCAGCCTGTCTAACATATTCAATTAAAAAAAAAGAAAAATCTGTTTGGGATTTTGTCTTAAAGCCGAACTAAGTCATTTTTTTCTCTCTCTCTGTGGTATGAAACTCAAGAGCTTTGCTTTATCAACTCTCATCAAATCTGTCTGAAGCTATCAGCTGCAGAGATACTTTGAAGTCTGAGCCAGCATGCAGAAGCTACATTAGCTCACCAGCTCTTACCCCCGTGTCTTTGTGGCCTGGCATGTCCACAATAAATATTGAAATCGGCAGTGGCTGCCTCGCAAGTGGATGTTCTGTATTATAAATGTCAACCTACCCTTGGTCGGTAGAGCAGTGGCTCATTCTGATGCCACAGGACAGAGACGACGAGAGGGAGAGAGAGACGACGGCGACAGGCGGGGGAATTCAACTTTCAGACTCATTAGAGAGACGTAGGGGTGTGCGCTTGCATGTTTATGATTAAAAGGGAAAATGGATACTGTGGAGAATGTGGGACAAAATGACAGCGAGGGACACAGAGGGAAAGATGGAGGGAGCAGAAAGAGAGAAAGAAAGCGAGCCGGCTCTCTGTTCCATTAAGTATCTCTTTTGGAGTACAGTATGACTCGTCTGTCAACCATTATTGTCTAGCTAAATCGGTGATGCTCAAATGGGGGGGGGGACAAATACAAAAAGCTTCTTTGCATTATTCCTGAATAAAAGTCTCGTCTCCTCAGGCATCTAAAGGTTATTCAAACTACCCAACCTGAAAAGCTTCTGAGCTACTACAACTACGTGACCTTACAGGAGGGGACACGAGTTGACTTTCATATCTCCTTTCCAATTCCAAAAGGTTGTGGACCACTGAGCCAGACGACTCCCTTTAGAGCCTTTTGCCCTCTGAAGGCCCCTGGGAACTTCCTCCATGTGATGTGGGATCCCTTCCTGTTGTATAATTCTGGGATAAGGCAGATCTTATTTCTACTATGGTGCATGATGGTGCCCACAGGCACTATCTAGCTTCCCTGAGAATGATTTATCGGTGCAGCTTTTTGAAACAAAGACAGATTGTGGTACCGCTGCCTTAAGTGCTGTCCAAGAATATGATATCAACTCATTAAAAGCCTCATTCTCTCTCCATCTCACAGTATATTTTCTTTTGTGCCTGTGATATACTACACCTTGAGCTTTATGCTGCACAGATTACTGGTGAAACTGAGTTAATTAGTAATGGTGAGCTTTGTTAATTTGTGGCTAAATACTCTGTAGTAGCCCTGTATGCTAACCTCCATCCTATACAACAGAGATCCCTAATAGGCTCACCGTGGTAGATCCAGACCTAGATGCCGTCCTATCAGGACCCGGAACTATAAGTGTGAGTGTTTCTATTTAAACTTTTCTAGCCTTCATGGCTCAAGTTTAGTGGCCCAGAAAACTCACAGACCAAATGCATACATTGTAAATTATAAAAATCTGTGAGGTCCAATGAGACACACACACAGATGACGGGAGAAAAAAGTAAGAAAATAAAGTTGTTAAGTTGTGTTGAAATTATTAGACAATTGACTTCACTGCAGGGAAACTTAATTTACTCTTTTTATTTAATTTATCTTAAATTAAAGACTATTTTAAGATGCAATCTTTTTTTAATGTGAGTTTAACAAACAGCTACTACACAGATTAAAGCTCAGATACCTGGAGTGTTTTTCTGTTGATTAATAAGAAACTCCACAAACCATCAATAACAGCAACTGCCTGAAGTGAAGACACATCCCACAAGCTTCTATTATTACCGAAACCACCTATAGTGAAATTCACTGCCATTACTCCACATTGTCCCACACTGATCTGCAAGAGAAATTTAAAATCCCCTGCGCTCCTCGCCTCAAGTTTAATCTATGTTGTCGCCTCCCCCACCCTCCTCTTCATCCTCTCTCAATGTCATCTCTTCGTCTCCTGTTTTCCTCATCTTCTTTTTCCTCTGTTCTTCATCCTTCCTATAACCTTCCTCTGCATGCTCGTCTTCCTTCCGTCCCGTACTCAGATCCTGTTTCTATTCTGACTTTTTCTTTTCTGTCTGGAAGCAGATAACTCAAGTCTTTTTTTGGTCTCAGCTGCTTCTCCAAACAAAATATGCAACAGGTCTCACATGTCTGCAACGAATGAGGCTATTTCCACTCGTTCTCGCTCGAGACGTCACTCTTGAAACATTGAGTGGGTGAGTGAGAGGACATTTACCTGTGTGCAGATGTACCGCACGGCTTCCACGGTACATCAAGTCTCCACTGAACCCAGTGCGTACTGAGTTTAAGGAAACAGCAGCTCCTCTGGGTGGGTTGACTGCTTCATTGATGCAGAAACAGTGATCTATAATTTTAACGTATGTCACCACTCCACAAGTTTGGAGGCACAGAGGGAAGATGTCATGAAAGAAAATCCCTACCACAAATATTTAAATGAAAACAGAAAATATCCCAAAAAGCAGTCCACTCATTTCTCTAAATATGTATTTTCTCCTCTGCACAGTAGATATTGGATGTCACATTGTTATGTGAAGGGAAATGTGAGGCTCCCTTGCGTTCCTCCCTCGGCTCCTCCGAAAGCATCCAAATGAAGCAGGAGGCTGGTTGGTCAAGCAATCAATACTATACAGACGACCACCCTCGCCTTCCTTTCCTTCCCTCATTTTCTTTCCTTCATCCTCTTCATCTTCATTATTTTTCTCCCTGCATCCTTTTTCATTTGTTTTCACCTCCTGCCCCTTACATCCTAATACCCCCCACCACCACCACCTCCTCCCTCCCCCGTCACCTTTAATCCCACCAATTTCTCCTATTTGCAGTTTTGCCTTCCCAGTGAGGGTGTTATAAATCTGCACTGTAATTAGTATGACACACAAGGCTTAAGTTTGTTCCTTGTCACAACTAATTTACTTCTCAGTCCTCGCAGTGTTTTGATGATGCAGAAAGTTTGCACTGAGCTATTCTGTATGAGTATGGAGGAATACAACTTACTGTAATCGCAGAAACACTGATGGATGAAAATGAATGGAGTAAAACAAGGTTTCATATCCATCTCTCAGGTAATTTACTGCTGGAGGGAAGGTTTCCAAACTGTGAGACAACAGCGCCTCCTGCAGCCTCACTGCAGACATTCACTGAAATTCAACCCATCACGCAATTAAGGAGCCTTGTTTTAGACCCCCAGCTATATCCTCCCACAAGGGGAATCGTGTAAGTGGATTTAAATAAATTAATGCCTCTTTTTGCTAGCCTTGGGAAAACAGGGCAGAAAATATTCCAAAACAAAAAAAATTCGTCTGATTTCACATTCACAAAAGATAAAGAAAAACATTTCTTTAAAGATTACACCTATAGGCTCCACATTTAAAACAGCAGCAATTTGAATATGTCATGGCTAATTCCACGTTTAGGCTCAGCCCACACTCTCCAGGGACTGAACACAAAGCAAGAAAGACACTTGACTAGTCAACTGGAACAACACTATCCAGGCTCGGGAGGTAATCAGTCCCACCATTTCTTTAGAAAAAGAAACCAGTCGAACGCGGGAGAATCATATCTGAGAAACTTCAGTTTCCATGCAAACAAACAGCGATCCTGTGGAATATATTCTGAATATTTGTCAAAACATCAACAGCAATTGATTAATCGTAATCTCACTATGCATGTGCTCATGTCTGAGGTTCTCAGAAGGTTGATACATAAAGTCTACATGAAATATTTCAAACAAATCACATACTTCAAAGATGGAGGATCATTAAATGTGTAAAAAACAAGAACTTGAGTGTCAAAGAAACCCACCACCCATTGGAAAAGAGAGAAGTGAGTGAGAGAGAGGTCTTGGAGTAACTACATAGCATTAGCTAATTGGGATCAAACAAACTCTACTGAATACAAATGAGAGAAAAGTTAAAACCATAATCGCATCTTGTTTTCTTCGAGTTTTCCTCTTCATTGCAATGCTGCAGCAAAATAATCGATCCAATACTGTTTTAAATTTGCATTTATATCTCTATGCAAAGACTGAAATATAAATAAGGAAACCATTTAATAATCAGTAACTTGAAGACAGCTACACTAAATCCAAAACATACTGTAAATAAGCCTGGATACTGTGAATGCATGGGTACAGTTCAGTGCTAGTTACAATGAGACCCTGCAATACACCATCCAATTCTAGCTACAGAGTGAGTCTCTCAAGAGAACAAAGAAACCCTGGAGGTTTCAGATAACAAGCTCCCTGATCTCTGGTCTTTACACTACACTCACTCTGGAGCCAGATGTACATGCACCTCTGGGTCAACACAGACACCAGTGGGATTAACATCTATTAACAGAGAAAGAGGGACAGATTGGAGACACTCGTCATTAAGCACAAACAGAAAACGTCTCTGATTGCTGTGGTTTTGTGTTTACAGCAGATAATTGAAAGTATAAGAGAAGTAGAGCGAGATAAATTATACTCGACACGCACAAACTATGTTTATTCATACTGTGTGTGTGTGTGTGTGTGTGTGTGTGTGTGTGTGTGTGTGTGTGTGTGTGTGCGTGTGTGTTCATACCTCGGAGTCTTCCTTGCGGAGCCCCAGTTGGAGGACAGCACTTGGAGATTTCAGTTTGGCTTGGCTGGACTGGGCCATCTGCAGGTTTAACTGCCATCCTACAAACTCCAGCTGAAATACACACATGGCACCAGGATTTATTTCACAGTAACATAGATAACATAGATAAAGACTCACACTTTCAAACGCCCCTGATACATTTTACAAACTAAAAGAAAGAAGAAGCATGGCCACTAAATAACAGTCTGAAGAAAAATGTATGAATCCATCTATAAATTTATGATTTGACCTAAACTTTCCGCTGTTCTTTGATAGGTGCTATATTTATCAACTTTATTATGATTGTAAATGAAAGTGCAGATAGAACCCACTGTGGGGCAGCAACTGAAAATAATTTTCATTATCAATTTATCTGACAAATATTTTCTGAATTATTTTTCTCAATTAGTTATCATAATGTCCAGTGCATGTTATGTGGACAGTGAAAACCTAAGACCAGTAAACGCACATTTGTGAACCTGTAAACTATCAAATGTTTTGCATTTTTGCTTGAAATTTAGTAAATTATCATAACAGCTGTAGATTGATTCTCTTCTAATCACTAATTCATAAATTGACTAAATGCTGTAGATGAAGGTGAAAGTCATGAATCCTGTACTTATCACTGGCATGAGCATTTACTTCTGTAGAACTTTGAAGTGTCATTCTCTCATCCTAACTTTTCTCCAACATCTGTAAATGTGAAAAAACTTGTAATGCGTCCAAAACACCAAACTCACCAATCCACCGGCTGCCCTGCTGATTTACTGAGCAGGGCCTCATCAGTCAGCTGTAGCAGTGTGATGGATTAGCAGTGGAGACTCAAGGCAGGACAGTTAAGTGTTTTACGATGCAGAGAGAGGCCATGATAATAAACCATGTGTGACTTATTGGGCTTGGACGCTTACGCAGGAGGACGAGGACAGGTGTGAGGTGAGGAAGGGCCTGGACACATTATTCACGACTGGAACAACGTCCACATTAGCATGAATAAACGCCACGACTTCATGATGTGTTACTTTACACTTTCAGTGTACGCAAATTAATAAATTTGAAATGATAAATCAATAAAGATTAATTAAGCGAAATACAAAGTTGTATGTTAAAATACAGTATAAGTGACAAATCTAAAAACAGTATATTAACTTATCAATTAATTTTGCTTCTAATTTGGTTCTGTATTTACTGCTCAATCATATGTTAATGTTTATACATATTTTATGCATATATATGCACAGGAAGCTTTAATATAAAGTGATTGGAAAATGCATTTGTGAAACCATATAATACACAACGTATAACATGCATTTGTAAATGTTTCATTTGTCACTGTGATCATTTTTGTGGTGAATTATGGTGATTTCTTCAATTGTCTTGTCTCATTTGTCCATAAGTCCAAAACCCAAAGATTAAGAAGTTAACAAACATGTATGACAAAGAATCCACATTTGAAAATTCGGAAAAGATCAAACGTTTGTCATTCTTGCTTAAAAAGATAATTGAAAAAAATCAATTACCAAAACAGCTGCCAGTTAATTTCTGTTGGCAAACTGCTCGATTAATTGACTAGTACTTGCAGGTCTAATTGAGACTGCTTATCCCCGATTCTTATCAGCGCCTGCATGTGTTTAATTGTTGGTGTCACTAGTGGGACAACAGGTGAAAATGTTCAAAAGATAAACAACTAAATCCTGGTTTCTACTCAATGGGAAACAGAGGAGAGTACAGCCACATGTCTGCTATACACAGTCTCTTTTGTGACTTCATCGTTGACCAAAGTCAAAGCAGTGGCTGAGGTCGCCGTGAAGATCAGAGGCTGTAGCAGCCTTCTGCTGCCAGCGACACGTTCATGGGTATAGTGGAGAGAAGACGCAGGCAGGTGAGATGTTTGAAAAGTATGACAGCAGCAACAACTCCTGCATAATGTGACTGATGTGCACACGCTACACATTTACTCTGTGCTAGATCGTAAATTCCCTCGACTTTGAAAGGAGCATTGTTTGAAATTCCACCTCTTAATAAAGTTATAGAGAAGAACACGTTTTATAATTACTCTGACAAATAGTGTGAGCTGTGAAAGGAGCCCTTTTAAAACTAATAGCTGCAGTGAACTCACACGAAAGCAGGTTATCCTTAATATGGAGAGTCTGATTCTCAGCTCGGTGTAACGTCTCACCAAATCAGTTCAAAGTGATAAAACAGTGAGAAGAGCAGCCTGAACCTCTCCGTCTGGGAGTGGACTCATCTGACTGCGGTGAAGAAACTTCAGGTTGAAATGGTGTCACATAGGTGTGGGGCAGGGCTCAGTACCTTCTTTGGGGAAAAGATGTTGTGCTTTAGCTTCTCCACTAGCTCGGGTCCAGCGGTGGCCCAGGTTTGAGAGAAGACCTCGGCCTGGTCTGGGTTCAGATGAACGGCCTCCAGCTGCTGCTGCAGAGAGGCTGGCTTTACATTATGATACACAGCCTGCAGAGGAGGGAAGACACAAGGCGGAGGAGTTACGGTTTATTTTAAAACACTGTTAATGTTTCACAGCAACAACTGATCACTTTTACAACTGTTTTCATTTATACGACTAAGGCTCACCAGTGCTACAACATTACAACTCACAATACAACAGTGACCCCAGCTGGAGAAACAGGCTCAGTGTTGTTAAATCTAATATCTAACCCCTCAAATTAACATAAACAATAACAAACAATTCATGAAACTCTATCTTAGCTCAAAAACTGTAAGGGGCAGATGGTCAGGTGACCTCCACTCACCTGCTCGAGTATGAAGGCAGCAGTTTCCAGGACTAGATTGAGAGCCTGTTTATCCAATGAGAGAGCAGCCTGAAGTTTTTGCTCCTCCTCTTCACTGAACGTCTTCTCTCCCTATAAAAAAAAAAGATTTACTTAAAAGATCTTTGAAAGAATTTTCAAGAAACATAAATGAAAAAGATGCTTTTCTTATAATATAAACACAACTCTGAAACCAATTTAGAATGGGTGTCAGGACCCAGCAGATGAGAAAACATTTAAAAAGACAACAAGCAATCAACTTTCAATGTATTAATTAATTTGATAGCTACTGATTTTAGTCAATAATACAGAGCTAATAATATCCCCATCATGTAATTACAGCATATAAATGCTATATTGATCCACTATGAATTTTTCAATGAAAATAAGAATGAATTCAGAAAATTTATAAATATCTTGTGATGAATCTTCAGGCTTTATAATTAATAACAACTAAACAGTTTAATACAGCAAACTAAGTATTAAATCAAAAATCCATCTAAAGGTACTTTTGCATGTTATTGAAAAACGTTTTAAAATCTTAATTCAGTGCTTTTAAGGCTTTTGAACTCCTGCGGACACCAGCCATGCTGAGCTATCATGCAGAACAGTCATTAATAATGTTTGCAGTTGCACCCATGTTTTTCCAGATGTGACAAATGTCAGTTTTAAGTACATTTTATATTTTTATTAAACAAAGAGTATTACTTTCTTTTAGCAGGTAAAAAAACAGAGGGCAAATTGTTCTTTGAAATGAATGACTGACACCTCTTGACAGCAGGCAAAGTCACAATGATCAACAGTGTCAGCCATGTGCATTAATTAGAATCGAGTCTCCCTGGTGCTCCAGCGAGTCATTATTCATGCACTGCTCTGCCTGGTGCTACAGCTTTGCTGCAAAAAGCCTCAAAAGCCTCTTGTCTTTGGTGCAGAAAACACCGTGCAGCCTCAGTACCTTCAGATGGAGCTTTTGTATGATGCGAGAGATCAGCCTGGAGAACTTGTTCACATCAATCGCGTTGATGAAAGTCACCGCTTCTTTTATGCTGTGTGGAAAGAAGAGCAGTGAGTGTTAACGGCAGCGGTGCGCTCGCAACAGAAGAACACTTCGCACGTCTATTTCATGAGGCAGATGTGTAGGAAGTGGATAAATGGATGCAAAGCAGCGAACAACAATCAGCACTGTCTAACTTGCAATAATAAGTTTAAATGCAACGTTTGGATGATAGACCTTCAGGCAGATGAAGGTCTGTCAACTGAAGGTGTCTTCATCAGGCAGATGAAGATACCTTCAGTTGACAGACCTTCAGGCAGATGAAGGTTTACTGAGATCTTTTATTTAAGAAACAGAATGAGTTTACAGCTCATGATGAAAGCTCTGTCACTGTCAGAGGATTCAAAGGTACGTCTATACGTTGACAACAAACACAAACTATAAACAGCAGTGTTTTCTATCTGCTGTAATATGCAGCACAGGGTAAATAAGGTCAGCTGTAAAAGTGTGAACAGTAAGATGAGGTTATGTAAGTTGAACATGCATACAGTTACAATGTGCTACTGCAAAGTATACTGATATTATAAGTTACTTTACAGACATCTATTTCACTAACTGTCAATATGTGCATTAATACCTAAGGCAGTAATATCTCAAAAGTTAAAATGCAATCAGCCCGTTGGTCAGACAAAAAAATCTTAAGGCATCTTTAAAACTGGGAGAACATACTGATGCCTATCTATTTAACTGTTCCTACTGTAATACTGCAAATTTGCCCATTGTGGGACTTATAAAGGATTGTCTTATCTTATTTAGTTACACCTTTATTATACGAGGCTTAAACCAACTAATTCGATACGAAGATAGTAAAGAAATAAGTGAGTTATAGCGTTAACTGTGCCTGACATTTAAAAAAAAAGATATGACAAAATTATTAAGATCAAGATTAATTTTATTGTCCCACAAAGTGGAAAATTTGTCTTGGGCTCTTCCACCACGCTGCAGCCATAAAAATACACACGTGAACAAATCCCCATTATACAACAAATATCACAGCAATGACCCTGAAGACGTGTTGATCCATAACAGGAAATAATCAGGATATTCAATTATAAAATAAACATTATTTGCTGCTCTGACATAATTAAGGATATGAAGGCCGGTGGTTTAATTGACCAACACTGCTGCTCGGTTTGACCCTAAAATACAATCATAGCTCTATTATTTAGAAGCTAATTATTGACATATATTATGACATATCTCTGTAAAATGAGCTTGAGAACTTTAACATTGTTGGCATTTGATTGTATTCATGTTTCCCTCTGACATGTTTGAGCATAGGTGTTATTAGATAGATGATCTTTATTGTCTGTCCCATCGGTTGCAGAAATTAAAATATAAAAGATACGCACATAAAGAACAGAGGAGCTGCCTCAGTGTGTTCAGGAGGGATTTTGCGGATGGAATGAATGATTTCTTGTGGAGAAAACTTTGGTGAATTTTGAAAACATCACAGTGTGACCACAGAGATAAAGTGCAGATGCATTCCTCCTGTCTGCCTCCACAGACCGCTCGTGTATCTGTCACTGGAGGAAACATTAGTAAACACAGTTCTTCAATGACTGCAGCGACTGTCACTCCGCTGAATCTCCTCTCAGCCGCTAACAACATGTCCATCCTCCAGGACGTGTGTCTGTCGCAGTGGATCTAACATGGCCGCCCCCGAGGTTAAATACCAAGCGAGAAGAAAAGAGTCCCACCTTCGTGTTTCTTTAATGATGGAAGTCATGTTGGTCTGAGGAGGAGGAGGTGAGGAGGAGGTGAGGAGGTGAAGAGATGAAGACTGTCTGCAGCAGCGGCTCACTACTTCCTGGTCTGACGTCACCACTCACATGACCGTCAGAGCTGCGCGACACATGATCAGGGGAAACTACAGAAGTCAGTACGGAAGAGGATCTGGACAAACTCTGGATCATACGCGCAAAATCACCAGAAGACAGACAGAGACAGACATAGAGAAAGATAGATAGATAGATAGATAGATAGATAGATAGATAGATGGACAGACAGATAGATAGATATATAGATAGATAGGTGGATGGATGGACAGAAAGACTAAGAGATAGACAGACTGAGAGACAGATGGACAGATGGCTAGATAGATAAATAGATGAAAGATAAATAGATAGATGGATGAACAGACAGACAGACAGATAGATATATAGATAGGTGGATGGATGGACAGAAAGACTAAGAGATAGATGGACAAATCGATAAATAGATGAAAGATAAATAGATATGTGGATAGACAGATAGAATTTTAATTTTAACGTGTCCTCTATTTTATAAATACCAACATTCAAAAAACACATCTTGTCAATAGCCTCAATATCATGTGACCCACTGATAATTATTTTGTCATGCCCATGTATATCAGTAACTCACCAGCAGCATAGACTGTGTGTCCTGTTGTTACTGAAAGTTAAAGTGGAGGTTAACGTTTCCTGTAGCCTCGGACAAATCAACATTTTTATCTTCAGATCTTACATTTGTTGTGTTTCACAACCTAAATAACACACTGCCATACATCCCACACATTGTTTTGTTCAACGAGATCTTATGTCTCCAGGGACAATTTATCACATTGTGCTTTCACATTTTGTGAGATGTTATGTATCAAATAAAATATTATATCAATATAATGATTATAATATTTAAAATATAATCTTATAGTAATTAAGAAATGTGACAAAAACAAAGTGAGTTTTGACAGTTTATTATGTTGAAAAAGAAAAGGGTCAAAGAGCACAGATTCAAATTAAAATGATTATTTTATAAGACATGATAAATCATTAAAAAATATTTTTGCATACAAACAAGAAAAGAAAGTTTCATTTAAGCATATATATATATATATGTGTGTATATATATATACACACACATATCTATATCTGTATTTCTATAACACAGCATTACAATATTCTTTATTGTTTGCACTGATTTTACAAACAAGCTATAGCCTATTCATTTTAATACCGTAGCAGACTTGCTCCAATTTGGTGTTTGAAATGGTTTCTTTTCCTTCACTCCACTGATTTTTCTCCCCGTGAATAACTGAGACACATTGTCTGCTCCCAAACTTCATTATCTGCCACATCTTTGAGAAAACACTTGAAAAGGTGAAATAGTTTCAGTAAGAAACTAACACAGATCTGTGCTGATCGAGGGTCAACCTCCAGTGAGGCAGAAGGAATGTACCACTGATAAATAAATACTTCATTTTAAACAGAAAAAGAAAAAAAAAAACAAAGAAAAAATGTAAAACATTGTCTTCTTTAATTAGAGAAACAGAGTGATAACACCAGAACTAGGAGTGACAAACCACACAGTACCTTCAACTCGTATAGCTTTGAAAAGTTGGTAATTTGAGGTTTTGGTAAACAGATTGCATCATGGTAAACACTGGCTGACGTCCGCCGGCTCAGGACGTCGCTGCCGCTATTTGAAGGAGGGTAAATTTGGCACTTTTATGCTGATGTCACCAATGTTGATGTTTCTGGGCATTTCGGGGAGGTTCATGTTCTTTACAGCCGATACGGCACGAGCAGGCGCTCCTGCAATGCCGGCCTATACACACACAAACAAACACACACACACACACAAAAAAACACACACAAGGAGGTTTGATAAGATACAAATCAGTCAATTTAAAAAATAGAAACATGCTGTACACGACAACACATTGAACAGAGAACATTAGACTCACACAATGCTAAACAAAGTACTAGACATAACAAAAGTCACTTGTTGACACAATGCAAAAGCACTAACAGCTACTGGGACAGACATCATGTGCAAATGTACATTCAGATGCCTTCATAGCCTCATACACACATGCAGTATTTGTTTCTAGAATGATTTACATCACAACCAGAGCCAATTATGAATCAACTGTGAGGACATTCTGTACTGGGCCATTCACTAGTAGTTTTTTTTTTTTTTTTCATGTACTGAGCAGTACTGAACATTCATCGAATGGACAAAAGGCAGCATTGCTTGGAAAGTGAACCCACCGGACTCTTGAGGACCGATAAGGGTAAAAATACAAGGAGAGAACTGGTAAAGCAGAAAAAAATGGAGCTGGATATGAAGGCGGAAATGATGTTTGGATAGATAGGTGTGTACAGAACGTGTGCGTCAAATTTAATTAAAAAAAGAATCAAATTAAACATCATGTAAGCTTTGGCCACGATAATACAGGTGATACTATACCTGTAGTCGGTGGGATTACTTCAGGGAAGACTACGCATGACTGTTGCTGACATTTTCTGTCTAAATACATATTTATAAATAGAGGAACAAGAACATGGTGCTATTGACTCTTCTATATTGTTGCCTATTGATGACATAGGGAGGTTGTATGCCTAGTTGTGCTAAACTACCATGGGAGATCTATTCTCAGGGACAGAGGAGGAACTTCACTCTAACACAATGAATCTCAATGTGGAGCTGTATCAAATCAATTTAGGGTCTTAAGTTAAGAAAAAAATCAAATAAAGCAAACTGAGTAGGTGTTTTGGTGTTTTACGACTCAAGGTGAGAGCAGACATTTGAGAATCACTGTGGTTAGAGAACCCCCGACTGAATCTTTAGGAGACAGACCCAAAAATGACCAAGAGACTTAAAAGCTACGCATTCTTCCCCCTTTTCTCTGGAACATGTTCAAATCACCTTGTGAATCATTTAGTGATGTGACACAGTCCGAGTGCGTCTGGAATGTAGATTTATCCACTCCACTTATTTTCACAGGATATTTTCAATGAACCAATTGTCTAATGGACACTCCTCCCTCTGCCAAGAATGAAGGAGACTCGCACTGGACGGAAGACGGCCGTGTCCTTAACATGGAGGAATGCTGATCCAGCACATGGGCCTAGTCTTTGGTGAGGCAGAGTCACAGCGGGGCCACCTAGAGGCCGACTGTGCCGGTCCATTATAGTGGGGTTTTTAATGAAATACTGGGTGACTCATATGTACAGAAATAGTAACACCAGCTGCGTAACACAGTGGTTTGACTTTCTGTGCAAGTCAGGGAGTCTTTTAAATATTGAGCAGCACCCAAGCTCTCGTCTGTGAAACGTCAGTGAGAGAGAATCACAGGATAAAAGCTGTAGAGGTTTATTTTTATCGTGGGTTTACGTCACGTTAGGTGTGGTTTAGAGAGTTTGATATAAAGGGAATAGTTTCACAATTTGGGAAATAAGCTTTGCTGCTAGAGTTAAGACTTAATATTAATACTGCAAAAATATGCAGCATGAGACAGCAGCCAGTTAGCTCTTCTTAAAGTCTCTGCAGAGAAACTGTTAGCACCTGTATAACTAATATAACCAGAATGTTCAATCTCTGCAATTCACTGTTTTATGAGGTGTTCTGTTCCAGAGCAGTTCTACTAAGCTGGGACCAGTAACTACATGGATTCTCCACTGGGCCAAGAAATAATCAGACACATAACCTGTAAAACAGGAAAATTGCCTTTGAGCTAAACAAATGAGATGAACCCTCTTTATTACTGAGATTAACAGGAGCAAATTAGCAGATCATGTTGCTGTTTGACAGAGTCAGACCAGATGTTTCCCCCTGTTTACAGTCCTCATGCTAAACCAAGACATCCAGCTGCTAGCTCCAGATACAGATGTTCTTGTGCAACGCTTGAAAGGAAAGCAAATCAGGGAATATCCCAAAATGTTGAACTATTCCTTTAATACAGAATTTTAACATTTCTGATTAGATGAAGAGAACCCAAAAACTGTAACAATCGTATTAGCTCGCAAATTATTTATTTATCTGATCATTAGCAAGATTACAGCAAATGTGAAATTTGGTGGAAGGATGTGGTAGAGGCCGATTCAGATCATTAGTCAGATCCACTTTAATTTTCACAAGATAGGATGTATTCTTTCATAAATGTCTGTGTATTCTAATTCATGGATCTTGATGAAAAAAATCAGGCATATTTAGGGGGCTGATATTTTTGAGTGTGTGCAATTTGGGGCAAATCCCCCCCAAATAAATCTGGATCTAGGGAACTTAAAAGAGTATCATTCTAATTTCTTTTTTATTCTAATCCTATAATTTCCACAGTTTAAGAAATGTCTAAAACAGAAGAATCTGTAGCGACTCTCACCTGTTAGATTTACACACCTCACTGTCAGGTCTTTGTATTATCCTGTCCACCTCTGGGAAACTCACTACAGCGATTACATCATGTCACTAGTTAAGAAGTGAAATGGCACATTTTTGGGTCTGCCAAGAAAGATTCCTTGCATATGTTAGTGACGTCAGTTTACTGTTACATGGAGCGCCATGTGACGAGACTATGGGGGGGGGGAGTAAACTTCGGTTAAGGTTACAGCACTGGGTTGTAAATTTAGCAGTACCTGTGTCTACCTGTCCTGCCTGGTAGACTGAAAGATAAACGTCTGTAAAGAGAGAGAAGAATGGAAAGAACTAGACAGGGTCAGGAAAAAAGAGGAATGAGGAATGTTAAAGCAGATTAAAAGGAATTACAGTTTATCTCCACAGAAAAAAAGTGATAGGACCTATCATGGACCACATCTGGAAAAGTCAATCGTAAGCATCTCCAGAATTATTTCTAATGCAAAGAATAAAGATACGAGTTAAGAAGTATTAGTTTGATGAAAAAACACTGATGCCACTTAATCAGTCGTTGCCAGATTGGAAGAAGAACAGCTCGCTCCTTGTTCCCCAGACACTGCGCTATAAATGAACAGTGTCATTCTGAATTAGCATCAGTGTGAAAAACACACTGTGGTCGAGGGTAGGTCCAAGAGGGAAGAGACAGAGCCGCTCTGATGATT